TGTGATTCGTTGTTGTCATTTTGAGTTCGTTGAAATTATCGAAGTTTGAGGTACCGCTACTTCTTTAATGGTTAATCCGTTTTATCTTGGGAGGAATTAATCTGCAACCTCGGGTACTTGAGGGGATTAAATTTCTTAAGGACACACAGTGGGTTCTGTGGACTCGGATAGTTCTTTGTGTTTTTCTTTTCATCTTTTATTATTTCTGGTTTGCTAATCTGAATACAGGAGATAACAACTTTTAGACTTTTTAGTATATATATCTATTCTAGTCTAAATTAGTCCAAATAGCGTACATCTAGAAGTATTTGCCTTACGTCCTTGAATTATTTTATATATGAATGAACTAAAATTCAACTAAGTCGATAAGAAAATTAACTTTGAAAAAACAATTTTTGCCTCGAAAATTACCTAACGAAAAAGAGTCGATGCAACGCCGAAAAAACACCAGACAAACTCACCAAACATTTAGACTTTTTAGTATATACATCTATTCTAGTCTAAATTAATCCAAATACTATTAGCAACTCCTTTTCTGAAAAGTTGACTATTTGACTCTTCAAAGTCTTCGTCACTCTGCTTATTGAAAATAAAATCTTCACCAACTTTTTCTCTTTAATTGATCTTTAAACTTATATCTTTAAAGTTACACATAAGTTTTAAATTAAATATAAGTTTTCGTGAACGTTTGATTATGAATTATTTTTTTAAAATACTTTATTTAAAATTTCAAACTCGAATTCATAAAGTTCACAATTTGAATTTACCTCATACTTTGCAAGATAAAAAAAAATTAAACTACCCTCTCAAACTAGTAGTGATGGAGGTGTTGGTGCTGGTGGTGATAATGATAGTGGCGGCATAGATATGAAATTATACTTGCACACTCATTACTATGTGAAACTAAATGAGTTTTTTATTATAAATAAGTGAGAATTATATATGGTTGGTGTTTGGATTGGAAAAAATAACGAATGCGGATTTCGAATTTGAAATTTATAAAGTTTTATATTAATTTTAAATTAATGCAATATTATTAGATTCTCGTGAACCTATATATTGTATTTTAAATGCACTTCCGGAAAAAAAAAATTGGAAGGGAAATATACTAGAATACTTGAAAAAATATTTGGAAGGGAAATATACTAGAATACTTGCAATTAAGAGGTAAATATGGTGTTTGAAAATTCTATTATTTGAATTAGTCATGAAATATAACATATGTTAAACTAAGAAATTATATGTATATTGAGTATGTAATCATCCTATGTAGAAGTCTAAGAGTTAGATATACGAGTGATGTAACAAAATTTACTAAGGAAAAACGTGCAAGACATAAGTTATGCCTTATAAGATATAAATTCATTTTCGGAACATAATGTTTTAAAAAATTCTCTAAATTTGCCTTGTAAATTGGATATTATACACCTTATGTCGAACACGACATTATAATTAGATCATAGTTAAGAGTACTTTGACTCATCATTTTTTATTAAATAAAAATTAAAGTTCACCCTAAAATAGAGGTCGTTCATGCAAAAACATGATATAAGTACGTATTACAAAGGAAAACGATTCATCCAACTATAGACAAATCCAAACATAAACATAATATTACCACATAGTGCGGTCTAAAATGTTGCCTTTGGCCAATCATATCATGGTGGATAACTTTTTGATGATGTTGGTGGTGGTGGTGGTGATTTTGGTAGTGGCCGCTTCCAACGAATTCTCAAATTAGAATTTGGTGGTGACGGTGTTGGTACTCTTCCTCCACCCTTACTCCTATCCAAATAGTTTAGCCCTCCGGCTACGTCCACCTTGTCTTGAGAATTAAACAATTCATCATAGGAAAATCGCGATAGAGACCTTGCTTCCACACTATGAATGACTAATTCATGGATGAACAAAAATATTAGTAGACATGAAATTATATGTGCCTTCATAATTGTGAGAACTATTGTAAAATTAAAGGAATGTCCCTTTGCTCACTTTTTTGTCATTTTAATTAGTTTATTACAACTTGTGAATATATAGTGGACTCTAATATTATTTTTTCATTTTCCAGAGGATTATTTAATTGATAATGGAAATGTCAAAATAACGCGTTAACAAATTTCTTTGCTTCTTTACTTGTTATAGTCATGGTAGATTTCACACTATAATTTTGGAAAAACTTGACAATTAAGAGAGGGATGGAGGGACATAAATGTTGAAGAGTCACGTTTTGAACGTTCGATGAAAAAGGGATGGATGGTTTCGTCTTGGACAATTCCTTCCTTTCGAGTTGAGTTAAATTCGAGATTTATTTTTTTAACAAGAACTAATTATCGATGAACTATCTAGAATGTGTTTGTATGGAGGAAATTTCTTTTAAAAAATGATTTCCAATTTTTACTTTTGTTTTAAAGATAAAATAAGTTCTTTAAAATTCAAGAAAACGACTTTATTAGTCAAAATAAAAAAATAATTTTAATAAATGACATTCTGCATTAATTGTCTTGTTCCCACGCCCCACCCAACCCACCCCGTCCTGACCCCAAAACCAACCCCAACCCTCCCGCTCATAGTGTTTCCCTAAATTATGTTTAAATGTTTTTGGGATAAAATTCTATACATATTTTTCAATCTGTACCAAGTTTTATTGTAGTATTTCAAAGCCATGGAATATATTAAGTACTTTAATTTTTGAAAAACAAAACATAACAATTATGTTGGAGCAAAAGAAATATCATGGTTTTAAGGGACTTAGCTACCTCTTGAATATTGACAAAGACCTCAATTTCAACAAAAGAATGGCAAAGACGTTATAGCCAAACAATAAATGTACAATATCGTATATAAAAATACCTTTGAAAATATTGATCATCTCAATTAATATTACAAATTATATATCTCACTCCCATAGTTTATTCAATTACAGAATAAATACAGACATAAACACATATACATATATATAAATATATATACCGCACAAATCTAGTATCATCCCGATCTAGCTTGGTGATGCTGGTGGTGGTGGCGATGGAAGAGGATTCCAACGAATTTTCAAATTAGGATTTGGTGGTGACGGTGTTGGTACTCTTCCTCCACCATTACTCCTATCTAAATTTCTTAGCTCTCTAGCCACCTTATAATGTTGAGAATTAAACAATTCATTGTAGGAAAATTGGTTTGCTTCCACATAAAGGCTACTAGATGATTTGTCCACCATGACTAATAATTCATCATAGATCGATGAACAAAGATATATTAGTAGACATAAAATAATTATATGTATCTTCATCCTCCCAAATATTATGAACTACTAAAGGAATATAATGTCCCTTTGCTACAACTTGTGAATATATATAATTAGTCAGTGTATCATACTTTTGTTCATTTAATGGAAAACTTAGTCGAAATACCGCGTTAACAAAATTCTTTGATTTTGACTTTATTACTTGTTAGTATTGTAAGACACTCTTGTTTGTCATAGTTTATTTCACACCTTAATAGATTGGACAAAAATGTCAATAGAGTGATATAACTATCAAGATAGGAAGGGGTACGATAAAAAATGTTTATTTATTTTAAATTTGTTTTATGATGTTTAGTAAGTAGCAAAAGAAATATTTTATTTAGGAATATTTATACATAATCTAGAAAAAAAAATATGAAAGTGGGTTGAAGAGTGGAAGGGCGGATCAGGAATGGGACGATGGTGTGGTCATAGGGTGGGGTTTGAAGGGGGTAGGAGGAGACAATGAGCTTAAAATGTTGTTTATGCAACTTTTTATTATTATTATTTTTATTAAATAATTATTTTTAAAAAATTTTAAGAAATTTATTCTCCTAAAAATCAATCAAATATAAAATAAAAAATAGAAATGGCACATACTAGAGAAACATAAGTTAATTTTAAAATTTTGACTTTTAAATAGTATCTTCAGACACTAGTTTAATTTGTCACTATGACTTCCTAAATAATCAAGTGTTAATTTATTCACCACTAAGGAGTAAGGACTATTCTAAATATAATTATGTTCTATAGCAAGAGACAAAATTATAACATACATTTTTATAAACTGATAAAAATTAGAATTTATCGATACCTAAAAATTGAAAGTTTTATTACAAACCCTTCCTCCAAAAATCAAAATACAAGCACTCATACAAAAAGAAACAAAACAAAACCAATTAATAGCTACTAAAAAAACACAATAATTGAACCTACAAGCTTCAAATCCTGATTTCACCTCTCTGAACCATGGGACTATTAACAGCATAGTGGCGATGAGCATGGTGGACTATGGGTAGCATCTTGTTGAAGCTTGCGGATAGAGATGGAACAGAATTCGAAGTTTATTAAACTTGTTATCTCGTCTTAGTTACTGAAATCACAATTAAATACTTATACACATGTTCAATATATTATGTAATACAAATACAATATCTTAACAAAACTATTGAGTTCATTTGAATCTATACCTAATACTGTATCTCCGACCCTGGTGGTGGAGGTTGATCAAGAGGAGGAGGGGGACTCCAATGAATTTCCACATTAGGTTTTGGTGGTGATGGTTTTGGTATGATTCTTCTCTTTAAACCTCTTAGCTCTCTAGCCACCATGTGTTGATGAGATTTAAACAATTCATTATAGGAAGAATATTGAAGGGACCTTGCTTCACCACAAAGGCTACTAGAAAATTCATGGATGAACAAAAATATCAATAGACATGAAACTATAATAGTTGGCCTCATAATTCTTTCAAAAAGAATTGTAGTGTGAAACTAATGAGTTTTCTGAAAATTATAAGTGAGAATTATGTATTGGTGTTTGGTGAAAAGAATTATGGATCACTTATTGCATTTTCTTTTCTCTTCAGCCTTTTTATTATTTAATTACAACTTGTAAATATAATTGTCTATATTTTTGTTTGTTGTCATGTGTATATTTCAAGATAGTCAATATATACCGCGTTATTACTTCTTGATATTAAAGGAATATTTAAATTAGTCCAACAAAGTTTTATTGTATTTGACATCTCTTTTTACATATATGAGTGTGTTTGGTACTCCTATTTATAATTTGATATACGGAAAAGGGTCAAAATTGCTCCTGAACTATGTGAAATAGATCACTTATATACTTCGTTATATTTTGGGATAAAAAATGCCCCTGTTGTTATATTTTGGGATCAATCCATGTGGGACTAATCCTTCTACCTAAACGTTGCCAACTAGGATTCACTACAAAAGAACTAGACCTTTAGCTGCGACAACAGTCGCCACAAAAGCCCAGAAAATCGTCACTAAAGTTTTTTAACATTAAATTCTAATTTTGTGTTATTTTCGTCACTGTTTTAAAAAAAAACAAAAATGATATCGATTAATTAGGAGTTTGAAGACACTGTATGTTTTATTTTTATTTCATATGTAAATGTATGAAATGTACAATGATGCATTATATAGTAGGAGATTTGAATCGAGAAGTAATTTTGATGATTTTTCGTAATAATATTGGATGTTTTTAATATTGATATTGCAAGTTATTTATTTTAGAAAATTAGGTTGCAATCGAAATTATTATCATTTTTTTGTTGAAAAAATAAGTTTTACTAGCGAATGGTTGTTGGAGCCTTAGTTGCCACTAAAAATCACTCATAACCTTTAGTGGCAATATTTTGGGATTTTGTGGCGACTTTATCGCCACTAAAGGTCAAGTTCTTTTGTAGTGAATCTTAGTTGGCAATGCTTAGGTGGAGGGATTAGTCCCATGTGGCTTGTCACGTCACTAATAATTTGGGGTGTTAACTCTTAAGGGTATTTGTCGTCTCCTGGGATAGCGGTGAGGGTATTTTTGATCCCAAAATGTAATGGAGGGTATAAGTGGTCTATTTCACATAGTTAGGGACAATTTTGACCAGTGGCGGAGTCAGACATTTTATGAAGGGTGTGCAAAATTTTAAAAAGTTACCAACAAAATATTTAGTGAGTTTTGACTAATAAAAAATGATGTTAAAAACTTAAAGGAGCCAAGAATCGAACCTCCGACCAAAAGCCATGAAGCTTGTAATGTGCTCTTTATCACTAAGCCAAAAGGCTCTAATTATGTCAAGTGGTGTGCAAACTTATGTATATATTTACAATTTCATTAATTTGACCTATATATACGGTATAATTTTCCGGCGAAGGGTGTTCACCTGCACACCCATCATAAGTTGTAGCTCCGCCCCTGATTTTGACCCTTTTCCGTTTGATATATAAACATAAAATATTATCTTTAAGAGTATATCTTGATGTATACTCAAGTATATAACAAATTAAAAAAATTGCGATAATTATTTAACAACAGTAATAAATATGAATATTTTATATAAATGACAACAAGAACGTTAGCGACTTTAGATATGATGACATAATTTAATTGTTGTTGCTAAATATTTTTACGACAATTAATATTATCGCTAAAAAGAAATATTATTACCCCTAAATATCTCTTTTGTTATAATTGATGACTATACAAATAAAGTGAGGCGATATTGGAATTGGAGATGACGCCAGATTATATAGTATGTAGCCATTTGATTACTGATTCATCTGAATTTATAACTCTCTACTCAAAATAGAAATATATATCGAAAAAAGTTTATTACAATTTACATTTGTCGAGTCTTATCAGAGTTGTTTAATTTTCGTTGTATACGTAGTAAACTGAAATTTTTTGCCACGTAATGGATAGTCAAATTTTAAGAAAGTTTTCAACCTTTGCGGCATATAAAAAGAAAAAAAATACAATTTGGAGTATAGTACATTTTTCAAAAGGAAATTTTAATTAAAGTAGAGAAATTCTAAGTCAAAAGTAGACTTTGGAACATTGAACATATTCATCATTAATTTTATTTTTATTTAATAATAATTTTCAAAAATATTTATTAGATAAAGTTTGGGGCTAATATTTACAACTTCTTCTTTTTTATAGTTAAAGTTAATATAATATCTCTTTTTTGTAATATCTCTATTTTTAAATCTAGCTAGTTTGACTTACAAGAGCAAATTGTTTTTATTAACACTGCTATTAATTTCCACCTCACCTAACTTCCAACTATGAAGCTCATGACATATTCTAAGCTAATTTGTCAACATTATTCTCATAGTTTATCTTCTCGTGTTTGAAGGCGAAATTAAAATTTGAAGTTTATAAATTTTATATTTATTATGAAATTCAAATTTTATTTTGATTAACTATTGTTGAAAAGTATGTGATTATCTTATTTCAAAGCAAGTTTATATCAGAGTGGGTAGAAGTTTTGAAATCGAATTTCACGGATACTTATTATCAAAAAAAAAATATCCTTGTTTGGCTCATGAAAAAAGAATCAAACATGTATCTGGAACGTATTGAGAATATAATTAAGTAAATAAAAGTGTGCTCTTGCTTACATCTTCAAGCATATAGATCTAGGTCCTGCGATCAAATCTCATAGCCCCGGTACTCAATATCAAAACTAATTTCAAATGTTTGATCCATGAAAAAATAATCAAGTCGGCACTTGAATGGCTTATATTAAGAATATAATTAAGTGGAGAGAGGTTTTGAAAATACCCTTGAACTTGATGTAAATTATTAGTTTTGTCCCCGAACTATTGACAGTCTTAAAAACACCCCTCTACTCAACTAACTAAATTTAGATACACCGCCGATCTGCCACTTGACATAGCAAGTGGTCACAAACTATCGTAGGAGCATGAGACTCTTAATAAATTTAAAAAAATAGAGAAGTGTTGAAAACACCCTTAAACTTGTCGAGAATTTAAATATGTATTTCACTCATGTTGCAAGATTGAGGGTTTATTAAATTTTAATTAGTCGAGTAAAAGAGTGTTTATAAGGCTATCAATAGTTCGAAAATGAAACTAGTAATTCACTCCGAGTTTAAGGATATTTTCAATACTTCTCTTAAGTAAATAAAAATATAATATGATCTCTCTAATAGTTTATTCTAATATAAATACAATATCTAAACAAAAGTTATTGAATTCCTACGTATCCTTGCCTAATATTATAGCTCCACCTCTTCTAGTAGGTCACTATGAAAATAGCTCTCCACTTTATTTTGCTTCTTTTGATTCAAGATTTTTCTTCCTCGTGGAAATTGTGCAACATAAACAAGAAGCCCTTGGGTCCTGCAGTTGTGTTTGGCCGTCGACCACCTTACCGGCCACCACCGTCTCCGAAACCTAATCCACCAATACGTACTTATAAGCCACCACCATCACCGCTGCCTCCACCACCACCGTTGTATTCGCTCGTAACGCCATCGGCACCTTATCCCTAGCTAGGTCATCTTTAATATGATTACTTAATCGTGTATGTATATGATCATACACTAGTTATTGTTTTGATATTTAAATTTGAATAAACTAATGTGTATGTCGATCTGTTTATGAGATAAGATCAAAAATAAAGATTTCAGGGCTTTGTTATATTCTGATGAGAATTATTTGTATTTTTTCTCAATTTATATTATTGTGTATCGATTGTACGTCTCAAAATGTTATATACTATTTGTTGATGATATTTATTTTTTAAAATCATATAGCTGAAATGGAGGTGTACGTTATCGATGTTATATATATGATAGAACTTAGAAACATACTTATCAAAGTGAAAGATAAGTTATATTGAACAATTATATGATCAATTATATATATGGTGGTCAATTGTTAGGTTACAATGCAAAGATACGAATGCTAAAATAGATATCATTTCATACAAAATTAGATAACTAAGATTAAAATGATTACATTCTCAGGAAGCTATAAGTAGCACACATTGAATCTAAAATATGAGTGATCGTCATTTGAATATTCTGAACATGTCTTGTGTCGACCTACAAACTGATTCATAACTATGAAAATTGTAAGTGATCGATCAAGGTGTTAAAAGGATATAGAATAAATCTATAATCACGTAAAAGAAAATTGTCTCGATAGACCTATAAATCGTTGATATCAATGCAAGACTTAAATATAAAGATAAAAAACAACAAAATAAAAAGATCCATATAGGTGCATGTGATATCTACTCATTATTAATTGGTGTACTCCTAATTATTACAAGGATTTATTAATAGGTGTCTCATTTGAGTGATTGAGTCAATGTCACAAAATAATTATTAGTGACATAGTTGTCCCTTTTGTCGTTAAAATTAAAGCTTAACCAATAGATTCAAAATCTCTCTTTTTAACAAAAATGGGTGACTATGATCGATCGAGCAAAAGAGCTTAAGGCCTTCGATGACATAAAAGCTGGCAAAAAAGGACTGATCGATTCGGAAATAGTTTATATTCCCAAAATCTTTATTACATCAGTTAAAATAGTAATGAGTTCAATGCTAAGAATTTTAATTTAAGTTCAAATATAGTTAAAACGTTCAAATTCTGACTATATATGTCGAGGGTATAAATAAGAGACGATTTTCAAGTAGGAGAATTGTTGAAGAGGTAGGTGAAGTAGGTAAGAAAAAAGAGATAGGAACTCCTAGAAAGTGATAAAAAGAAATTGAAAAAAAAAACTATTATTTCTAATATAACCTTAGATCTAATTAAACAATCTCACATTTAATTATCCTTTTCCAACTAATCAAACGACCCCTTAATTAAATACTCCCCCTTTCATTTTATGCAAAACCCTTTTCTTTTAACTTCGTCCAATAAAAAATGTCACCTTACTATAATTATAAAAAAAATAGACTTTAAAAATTCTCCTTTTACTTTGAAATGATTTACAATCTCACAATTATGTAAGGATTGTTTCAGACCATAAATTTGAAAAGTTTTTTTTTTTTTTAATATTATGTCAAATCAAA